CTAGTTGCCTGGGACCGTCTCCTGATGTTTAAAAACCAGTATAGCGCCTTTTGGGGCGACTAACGGAGCGAGCGAGGGGGTGAGTCTTGCACGTGCGAAATTTCGAGGGGGTACCTCCAACTGACTTGTGCACGGCACCCTACTGACCGGTTTCTAGCGATGTGCCAAATTTGAGCACAATCGGCCCAGCCGTTCTCGAGATCTGAGAGCGACACCCTGCACGTGCGCACGTGCAAAATGGGTCCCAACTGACTTGTGCACGGCACCCTACTAACTGGTCCCTAACCGTGTACCAAATTTGAGCGCCATCGGTCCAGCCGTTCTCGAGATCTGGAAACGACCCCTGCACGTGCGCACGTGCAACAGCACCCCAACTCTGGCACATGGATATGCAGTGCCTAGTGGGTGCCTACCTACATGCCAAGTTTCAGCGCAATCGGCCAAGTAGTTACCGAGATATTGCAACAATTACAAAACTGACACCTCTTCGTTTTGCACGTGGCACGTGCATAAGGGGTCACCCACATGCATCGGGAATAGTCCAATACTTGGTAGAAGGAATGAAGCTACCCTACAAAAATTACCGCGTGTAAATCGGTCAAGTGGTTGCTGAGATATAAGCCTCGCAAAAGCGTCCGCACGGCCGGCCGCTCATACTCAGAAATTTCCGTTATTCTACGTAAGACTCCGCTCGCTTCGCTCGCTCCGTAATCACTACTCGCCGGGAGCCCGAGTTGACGAATTGAAGCGCCGTTGGTGTCGGCTGGTACTTACCTCTGCAATGTCCTGGTAGTCGATGAGCACAAATGTGCGCCTGCAGCCGGTGAAGACGGCCGTGCACACCCTGTCCAGCAGGTCGTAGTACTGGCTGTCGGCCGCCGCCACCATGAACAGCCGACAGCTCCAGGAGGCCTGTGTGCACATCATGGTGAGGGCGGTTTTATAACCCCGTACCTACATCCGTATTTTCATAAAATTCAGCTTGAATTTTTGGACAGTGTGATGAAGCCAGAAACCACCCAGCGCATAACTCGACGCCCACCGTCCAATCGGACTGTCGAGCGATCGAGATTTTTGCGTATTCGTCGGTGGTAGGTACACACAAAATGTCGTTGATATTAGCCGTTTTCACAACGGCCATCTCAGCCCATCTGGTACACATTTGGTGCACATCTGGTACAGACTAGGTGCAGATTTGGTCAAATCAGGTTCAGTGTGTCTCTTAGCAGCTATCAGCTGGGGTTGCACTAATTGCTTATATGCCTGCTTTGTCATATTATCAGAGAGCATGATCGATTAAAACACTGAAATAAATTCATAAAATGAAGATATTTGCTGTAAAAGAAATTAGGTGCAGATTTGGTCAAATCAGGTGCATTCGCCGGATAGCCCGTCGTGAAAACGGCTATTGCTAACACACTGCATGTCTCATCTCATGCTATATAGCAAAAACCTACAAATCGCATTAGCTATAGCTAGCATCATCAGTCGCATACGTCAGCTTATGTATGCTTCCTGATTTTATGTGCGGAATGTGGATAGACCCTTAGATGCATTTATCCACATTGCATGAAAATTTTGCTACATGTATATCGCATATTCACAGTTGACTACATGATGATGTTCCACTCATCAGCTGACTTGAACGCTAACGTAATTAAGCTTGTCCGTATTAAGCCGCGGGTCACACACAGCATTAAACTGTGACACTCTGCCCGTGTAATGCGGCACAGCCTACCTCTCCAGGCAACTAATTGCCTGTGAAAAGTGGAACATTATTCTGCACTCTGCAGTAAACTGTACGGGCCAAGTTTTCAGGGCTTTCAAGGCGGACCAACTTACGTCACTGATGACGGTGTCTCTGACGGCGGCCTCCCACGACTGTGTGCCGCCATCAGCTCCGCCGTGGTCGGCACCCGCCTTCCCAGAGCCGGACTTGGACTTGGGCTTCTTATCGCCTGAAAACGAGCAATGCATGTAAACAACAGTCGTCATGGGTATGGCACGGGGGCTGTTCAACCAGGGAGCAGATCACAAGGTGATCAACAAACATGCGGTGACAGGTTGAAATGTTACTTGACACCGTTCTCAACTCAATTTGAAACCGTTCATCTCCCGTCTTACGCATATGGCATACCTATTTGCATACGTATTGATTATTGAATCCTGCATGCAAAGGTGTCGCTATCTGCCGGTTTTCAGGCGAGTAATTCTTGAACCCCAACGGGGCATCCGATCCCCGGGAGGTAAATATCGGTAGGCTTGAAAGTGTGTGCACGTTTGCTCATTAGGTTCCTTACCTTTTGGCATCTTGTAACTTAATGGCTTAGCTCCGCATATCGTGCTACACAATCATAGTGCTTTACAAATAGATTAACTTGCCGATAACACAAGTTGACAACATGTGCGATTCGAAACTGTATGGCATTAGTGCTCAATATGTGATAGCAACTTTTGGCTCTTGGTCTCTTGACATTTTGAAAGCTCAAATACGCTGTCTCAAAATATTGAGATGTCTCTACGATGCCTATATATCGTACGGCATAGAAAGTGGCACAAAACTTTCAGGTGACTTAAATGGTACGTGAGAAACGTTTCGTTTAAGCTTACGTTGTCTTTACGCCTAGATATGTTTTGTAAATAGGTCTGTGAAATTCATAGAGCATGGAATCGAAGTTTCTTGCAGTTATCGCGCTTGATCGTGTCAAGGCCATATATAGGATCGTGCGCAACTTATGCCTAACTTATGCCCCTTTGCCTTTGTGGGAATCCTTCGTGAACAAATGAAGAAATGAATGTTTTGTATACGGACAAAATGTGACATTACGCCAGAGTCCCCCGATTGCGGCGATATTTCTTGGTAACAGGTAAGCATTCGGGCATGGCAGCGTGTGAAAAAGATGAAACAGATAAACAGCAGAAAAACTCGTTCACTCGCTATAGGCTTACTCGCTCGTTTTAAAAATTTCATAAGGAAACTCATTAAAATATCTGTGTAAAAACGTTTTTCATGTCACCGGTAGAATATTGCCTACCTACTGGTTTGGACGTTTCATACAAATTTCATCATTTAGCGTAATTTATAAAAAGAAAGTATCAAGAAATGTGCTCATTCTCTAATGGAGATAGTTTTATACCTTATTTATAGCTTGTATGTATCTACACATCAGCCACGTCCCACATGCCTACCAACTTAGATATGCCTATCTCGAGTCAAATCTCACCGTATTCAGAGATGAAGCGAAGACCAGACTGATCGACTAAACAAGCATAATTTGACCTAGCTTGCATACCTAGCTAGATTTAAAATAAATTCCCCCTTATTGCAAAACATGAATATTAACTACCCTTTTCCAGAAACCCATATTTAGATTGAAACTAACGACCCGGATGGGCTAAGCAAGTGTTAACCCGCGCCGGGCCAAGGGGGGGGGGGTGTTTGAACACCCCTCCCCAGCGGTTTTTCGCTAAAATCTCAAAAAACGGTGGCGCGGAGCGCCGCCGTTTTTGGCACACCTGTTTGTGCATCTTTTTCGCACATGTTGTGAAAATTTCTGACCCAGGTCGCCTTAGTTCATGTCACCAGGTCACGCCAAGTGACCTCACCTCAGAAAAAATAAGAATGCTCGTCATAGCTATACACCGACTGATCGATTGCCTTGAAACTTTCAGCCATTAATAAGAGCAACATTATCTATAAAATGTTTATCTCGGAATTTTGATATCGGTGACCTAAGGTCAGGTCAACTTTGCGGCCTCTCCATTATAAGTCAATGGGAGAAAATTGAAAAGCGTCTGTTTTGCACGAACGCTATTCTAGACACTCTCAAACATCGAGATGTAGGTAAAATTGACACACTGAACCGGAAAATGGCAACTGTGACTCCTCGTTATGTCCCCGAGGTCATCTCAGGTCACGAACAGAATCTAACAGTTTTTCGCTAATACCTTCTGATAGAGGCGTGCTAGAGCGTTGAAAACGCCTTAGATGTGTTCGGCTCGACGTTGCGGATCGACTAATATGCAACATGACCTTTTCCGGTCAGGTCATGACCTTGACCTGAGGTCCAATTTTCAAGTTGACCTTTCAAGGTCAACTTATAGTTCATTCGACGCGTCTTGACACGATGCTGACAAAGGTAATGTCATGGCTCTTCTGAGTCAAAAGTTATTATCGAAAAAACGTTTTTCGTAAAAAACGGCTATTTTTGGAGTTTTTGCCCTCTGGAGGCTAAACCGTTGACCTGAGGTCAAATCTGAGAACAATGTTCAGAAGGGTCTGTAAAAGCGCTATCGAATGCGTTTTTTCCGCGGTGCTGTAGCTCTACCGGTTCCCGAGATAGCCGTCGGCAGTTTCCAAAATGTTGAAATAGTCAACATTTAACTTTGGTGACCTCTGCTGACCTGACCTTTGACCTGACCCAAAAAATGACCGAGTGTTTTCGTCCTTATTTTGGACGTTCTTTCGATTGCCGCTTACCGCGTGTCGCTACGTGGCCCAGGAGCCGAGTTAGAAGGGGGTGTTCAGACACCCCCGGCCCGGCGCGGAATCTCAGAGCCCCGGCCCGGCGCGGGTTAATGCAATTTACGCTTTTTTAAAGAGAAAATATATCTTTATAGCACGATGTATTTTTATTTTTCAGGCTATTTATTCGACTACAATGAACAATAATATAGTATCATCCACCTTTCGCTAATAGTCATCGAATGCAAATACGGTCAGTCTCAAAGCATGAACTTATTCACGATACCGCTGCGCCTCACTACAGTATGTATGTACATACACTACATACCATACGTTCAGCAATGCATGTTGATTGCTGGTGCTAGTGTCGGTCAAGACGATATCCTATTGCGATCAGGGCCACCCAATGGCTTTTGGCCAGCCATGTTCGTCGTTCGGCCGTGACGGTGCGACGCACCCGCCCCCCGGCGAGAAATACAAAGAGACTGCAAGTTTACCGTTAGCCATTCAGTACCCACTGAGGTGAGCGAGCCAGTTGGGTTGTGAGGCTGAGGCTAGCGCCGCCGCGCGGCAGCCGACGCCGAACCCGGAGAGGAACGGCCTCAGTCGGTCGGCGGCGGCGGTGTCGCGTGCACGCAGGTCCTCCCATCGCTGTTTTTCTGGGCGCGAGCGGCCGGTCGGCGCAGAGCTGGCCCGAGGCGACCGGCGAGGCGGCCTAACGGTAGTCGATGCGTAGAGTGCGCCGGGAAGCACACGGCCGGGCCGGGCAGTGACCGCTGCGTGCCGGCACCGACCGTCCGCTGGCCTCCGCGGCCCGTGCAGCGGTGAAAAGGAGCACAGCGCTCACCTGACCGGCGTCAAAATACCCAGGAGTGACCGGTGAGTGAATTTAATTTATTTCTTATAATATTTGCACGAACCAGTTCATGTAAGTACAGTCCACAGCAGAAGTAATGTGTGGTTTCAGTCATGGGTATGTTCTGCTTCTGAAGCCTACTAAGAACGATTAGCCAGACTGCAACGAGACTTTAAATGTAGCTTACATGTATCTTCACCCTTGCAGCTACAACTTTATCTATTGACGTCTTCTTTTCAATCAGTCAGCAATTAAAAATCGTCGGTCAAAGCCATCCGTTGAGATTGGTAAAACCACACATTACTTTAGCGGTGGGCTGTACATTGTGAGTGTGCAGGATGGCGGTATTGGCGTCTGGTTATGCATATGGTATACATACATGGTAAAACCTCCAGGCCATATTTGTTGCGAGTGCATGGGATCATATCCATGGCGCTAATGAGTGGTCCCGTGTGTATGGTAGGTGCTCTGCGCTCGTATCCATTGGTAGTTAATTTGTGGTCATGGCCGGAGCTCGGAGCGCATGAGTTTCTGACGATGATGTTAATTATTTGTAAGAATATCTGATCGAGCCGGTTATTGGTTAATGTGCAGAATGGCGGAATCGGGGTCTGGCTATGGATGACCTCAACGTGAAGCTAATAGCTATTTTTAAGCTGAACGCCAAATGGGCCACATCTTGATGAAATGACATTTAGCATATACGATATAACATCATACCTACATTTGACTTGCCAATGCCGTCACGCTCATCTATCCGATTTGAACGACAAATCCTCCTGGGGCTAAACACTTAACTCTCGCACGACCAGGCCATTTCTCATAACACGAACGACCAGAGGGGGGGGGGGTTGTTACGACCCCCCCTGGCGTTTCGAAACGGAAGGTCGTAGAGCTTAGCGGAAAAAACCAACGGATTGCTCTCAACGAGATCTCGCGATTGGTGGTATATTTTTTGGTCCTAGGTCAACATTTGACCTACTTTTGACCGGTCAAAGGTCAAATTTTCGGAAAAATGGACTTTTTTCAACTTTCCGCGGCGATTGCGGCAACACGGTGGGAGATATCGACTTGAAACCTTCACTATCGTGTTCCTTGATCAATTCTCTATCGTTTGGTATGTATTTCGTTTCCCTAGCTCTAAAAATGGCGCGTTGGGAGCGCCGGAAGTCGGCAAGGTCACAGTCGGCGGCAGAAATTCGAAAAATCAAAATTTAAATTTTTGAAATCTGATTGTATTTTTAGATTTGGAAGGTCCATTTGCTCCTTATAGAAGCTAATATTGCTGCATATTCCCATTGAGGTGACAAGAATTAGCAAAATAGTGGTTCGGGGCGCTTTTCAAAAATAGTACCGGACGCTGTTCCTCTTATGACGTCATAACTCCGTGACCTGACCTGACCCGGTCAATTTTCTTGCACCACACGATAGCCAATGCTTGCCCCAACATGCATGGGAAGTTTCATCATGATCCATCAAACAATGTGGGTATCACCGGCAGAAAACCTAGGGATTCGGCGCACACGTTTGGTAACTGTCGGCCGGAGGCTGTACCTCTTATGACGTCATAACTCCGTGACCTGACATGACCCGATCAATTTTTTCGGCAAAAGATGCGCAAAGGTTGCCCCAGAGGGTATTGAAAACTTCAGCCCGCTACGACAAGCCGTTTAGCGTGCACTTCGAAAAAACCTCAGGGGGGGGGTTGATACAACCCCCCCCCCTAGGCGTTCTAGGGTTAAGCAGTATTGGCGTTTTCCCAGCCGCTGACGTGCAGAGGGGTGGGGGTGGGGGAGGGGCCGATCGCACTCCCAGTCGTTCGTCACTGATCGAGCTATTACATAGTTATGGCCGCGCGCACACACCGTGACCATACAAAAAACAGTCGAGCTGCCCGAAGTATCACACGCTTGCCACATCCGTGTCGAGCGTAGATGTGGCGCAGTGAGTCGTCTGTCGTCCCTACGAAACCGCATGCACCGGCCGCATGAGCAGTGCGGCGGCCCGGGCTCGGCCCGCACACCGATAAAATGCCGGCGTGCCGCGGTCACCCCGCCAGTCGACTGCGCATTATGCAGGGGAGACGAGAGAGGTGACCGCAAGCTCGTAAAGTGGCTCGAGGCGACACACCGAGAGATATTCCATAAAACAAAACGGTCATTGAGGTATAAGAGACAAAAGCGTTGCTTTCCGAGTTCTAATGTTGAGATCAGCGGCGAGCTTGGGTACACTTCATATCGTTCTATTCATGATTTTTTTCAGGTTTATTAACCCTTGCCCATATTGGCGTTTTCTGCAGTCGCAAACATGTATGTACATATGGGGTTCATTGGTCCGTTGGATTTCCCCAGCCTCTCTGCTCCCGATGGAGCTGAGATTCGCGGAAATTTTTTCCCGTGACAAGAAGAATCCGATAATACCCAATTTTAAGATCCTAGGGCAATGGTTGACCTTCCAGGTCAGGTCAACGACCGAAAAGTTGTAAATATCGGGGCCTGTTATAATTTCTTAAAGTGAGGCGCTACTACAGGGGCGCGGGAACGACTTTCAGACTGGGGGGCACCCCATAATAGAGATCAACCGGGCACCCCAAATCTAGTTTTCTCACCGGTTTTAGGCCACTTATTTTTCACCCCTAAGCTTTTTTCAACACAAAAGAAAACACTTGCAAAAAAAAGTACGACATTCCGTCTCAAAGTTGTGGGGGCACCGCCCCCACGGCCCCAGAGTTGAGGGGGCAAGCTGTCCCCACTGCCCCCCCCCCCCGGTTCCCGCGCCTATGCGCTACTATGTGTTTTTTCGAGGTCCTGATTCCGAATTTCACTTTCATTTTGATCGGAGAAGATGCATTCATGCATTTGAGAAGGGTCCTGTACTGAGGTCATTGGTAGCTACAATTTTTATATCACGGAAGTTTAATAGGTATCGATGACCTAAGGTCAGGTCAATTTCTTGACCTCACCGTTATATGTAAGTCAATCATAGGCGGCGGAACGGGGAGGGCACCGGGGCACCGTGCCCCCCTTTGATTTTTTTTGCATTTTAGCATTAGCCCATTGGGCGTTGCAATGTTGCATGGAAGGAATGGGACCAAAAGTCGGCAGTGCCCCCCCCCTTAATTGAGGGTGTTCCGCCGCTATTGAAGTCAATGGGGGGAAAATCAACCCCTACCCCTGTTTTTTGTTCACTAAAACGCGTCGGAATGGCCCAATATACCATGACTGAATTCATATACGATCAACCTTGACTATCAATAGGTATGCTAAATTGAAAGGCGGTTCTTGTAAGGTGTAAATAAACGGCCTCAGTACACTTATATATATTTTATTGGACGTTAACCCGGCAGTTGCTGCAGGGTATTTCGCCACCCACCGTTTGCTGGGGGGGGGGGGGCGTTAAACGCCCCCAGCCGATAACTCGAGAACCAATAGGCGCAGCGAAACGCACCAGGCGGCAAAGGAAAGAACGCGACGAGACGCTTCAGACGAGTACTTTAAAGTTGAATTTTGAGGTCACAGGTCGGGTCAAGGTCAGGTCAAACACCTGAAATCGGGCTTTCAGTAGCATGGATTTCAGGACTTCGCAATGGGCGCCTCTCGTCATAAACTCTATCAAAACGGTGCACAATCGGGAAAAAGGTGGGGGCGTTTAACGCCCCCCCCCCCCCCCAGCAACTCGCGGGTTAAAGAGTGTAAATGAACTTTTGAAACACCCTGTAGATTGTTGTAGTTCGTCATTAACCTGCATCGGCATAAGTGGCGACCCAGGCGACCTTATGTATAGTGTGATAACACAACTTTCCTTGCTTCCATTTCAGACATAGTCACTGTCGTGAAAGACCCACACATGCAAGTCAGCTAGGAATCATGCTAAAGAGGCTGCGCGTCTCCAACAGACTCGGTGCTGCGCTGGTGTCGGTGGCCGTGTGCTGTCTGGTGGCGGTGACCCGACCCCGGACGGTGCCGCTGGCCGCCCCCGTCGACACAGACGGCCGGGTCGGCGGCCGGCCCATCGCCGAGCTGTGGGTGCCCAGCCGGCCGGCGCACGCCTGGTTCACCAGCGCCCAGTGCCGGCCGCTGCTCACCCGCTTCACGTGCGACCAGTGTCTGCCGCTCGTCTACCTGGCGTCGTTCCCCAGGTCAGGGAACACCTGGCTCCGCTACCTGCTGGAGGCCTCCACGGGACTTGTCACTACAGCTGGACTGCCTGACTTTTGGACGTACCGAAATCAAACCCCAGGCAAAATTGTCTTGGACCTTGAGCAGCTCTGGGATGCGACACGGGCAGACAGAGAGCTGATTTCTTACGGATACCTTGGGGAGAAGATTCCGTGGTCTCAAGGTATCGGTATCGTTTCCAAGACACACTATTATCCTGAGCCATGGAATGTAACGGAGGCTGAAGATGCTCCGCACGGGCTGTCGCCTTTTCCTAGCGACCGCCCACGACGAGCCGTACTGCTCATACGCGATCCATTCAAATCGATAATTTCTCTTCGGAAATATGGCGAAACACGATCAGTTCGTAACGAAAAAGATATGACGTATCTGTATCGTGGAGAAGATTGGTTGAATTATGCTATGCACTTACCGCATGTGTGGTTTAATATGAATGCAGAGTGGCTGCAGGCAACCAACGAGACGCATGTGGTTCTCTATGAGCGTCTCCGACAGGACCCGATGGGGGAGCTGCGCGCGCTGCTGCGCTTCCTGCAGGTGGAGCCCGACCGGCGGCGGCTGGAGTGTCTGCGCGGCGAGCTGGAGGGGATCGCGCACAACCACCGGCACGGCGTGGTGCCCGACGGCGAGACGTACCCGCTGCGGGTGCGCGCCGAGCTCTGGAGCTACATCCACCAGCTGCACTGGCTCCTCAGGGACAGAGGTTACCCGGGACTGCCCCTGCAACAGTACTCGTTTGCAGACGAGTTCGGTGATATTAATATACGGATGCGTTGAACAAGACAATGGTTTCAAAATGTGTTAATTGTGCACAACACTGGGTTTTCTGCCGATCGTTTTCATGTCTCGCAGCCTCTTCATTGTTTCAGGTTATTTTTAACGTTTTTAAACGTGCGACGTATGTACAACGTGCAACGTCACTTACTCACTTGAATATCTCCATTCGTATAGCTTCCTGACATGTGCATGGATCCAAGTGTGGATCTGTGATCTCAGTGGATCTCAAAGCTACCAGTAACTCCATGTTAGGATCTGTGATCCCACTGGATACAGGGTCTGGATCTAAGATTTCATATGATATGACGATAAATCAAGGACATAGATCTATGATCCGTGGGATCCCATCATGTACAACCTTTGAAGCTATGTTTTCCAATCCTACACAAAGTTACCAAAGTCAAACAGAACTTTTGTGAGTTGCAACAAGCGGATGTCTAGGATTTCTGTGTTGACAAAAAGAAGTGATGATATGTGATGTCACGCATAGTCTCATAGACCTCTGTATACCGAGGTCTATGTCAGATACAGAGGTCTATGTCGCACTGCTTCTTAACCCTATTAGTGGCAGGCTCCTGGCTACCCCCTATTAGTGGCAGGGGGGGGGGGGCTGTTTACGACCCCCCCTTGATATCTCGAGATCTAACGGGCCGATTTTCAAAATTCAAACGGCATTCGATTTCGCTCAACGTGATCTACATTTCTGAAAAATAAAAATTAAAAAATGTCAATAGGGGGGGTAGAGGGGGGTAAAAACGGGCAAATTACAGATACATTTTAGACTGTTTATCACGGCCAGAATTCTGAACCAATCTTAACGCAACTTTTGCCGATCGATAGAGAATGAACCAGGAATTCACATGGATCCCAAAAATATGCATTTTCAAAAATCATAGGCGGATACAGATCATTGAGATTGGGGGTACACAAAAAGTATAGTAAATAAGGTTTTTGTTGGTACTGTTTCTAAAAATGGTGGTAATGGTCTTGTTATGTTACAATTTTCTTATGAGAGAACGACTACAATTGTATTGGTCATGCATAGGCGGTGTCAGGGCACCTATGTTGGGAGGTAAAACATAACCCCCCTTTTTGGACGCCTGGATCCGCCTATTATAGCAAAAACGTGTCAAAAGAGGATGCACAATAACTGTATATGTTATCACATGATACCTTTCATTCACTGTTCGTAAAACTGGTGCAGCATCGTGATCTTCGCCCAAATGACTCGCTTCACGAATAGGACCCCCCAATTCCTAGTGCTCTGGAGCCGCCCCTGGTGAAGTTATGAACTTGAAATTTTCAGGGAATGTGCCCAATTTAGTTTTAGGAAAAGTCAGAAAATTTCAGCATCGTAGCTTCAGCGGTTTCGGAGATATTCCCGAAAAACCTGAGGGGTGGATAAAAACAACCCCCCCCCCTGCCACTAATAGGGTTAATTAAAAAATAGACTATGATATATGATCCCAATGATTCTCTCAATAAACTAAAGAGTGGGATCTAGTCATAACCCCATCAGATTCGAGATCAGGATCCACAGGATGAGGTCCCAGATCCATTTTCTAGGATCCACGCATATGTCCGATAGCTTCATCGCAGGGTGGGACTCGTTTGGCACGGGTAAGGTCACCCGCCTAGCCTGTTTAAAACTGCATACTCTACTATGACATTTAACCTTTGGCCCAAAGGGTAGTGTGTCGGAGGCAGGGAATACGTATTTCTGTGGCTAGCTCTCGAGCTTTCTTTCTCGAGCGAGCTTTCTGCAGGCCAACGTCCAGGTTGGACGCTGGCCTGACGTGCAGGGCAGCTGAATCGTGGCGGCAAAAACTACTGTAATATTCACTGCGCTGTGCGCTCCAGCGTAAATATTTAAAGGGACCCTCCCACCTTCAAAAAAGTTAATGAATTGGCATGAAGTGATGTCGCTCGGTTTAGAAAGAGCAAAAACGAATATCTACCAAATTTTATCGAAAAGTATTCACCGGTTTTCAAGATATTAGACTTTTACATTTGTTTACTTTTTGGGATCTCCGCTGTTCCTAGCGACTTTATTTGAAAGTGCGGCATTTGTTGCGCGCAAAGCAGCATATACCACCGCGTGCTACAAAACGTTTTAGTCAAACATTTAACGGACGTTCGAAAGCCTGATGACGTCATCAGATTCCCGTAATGGTTAAGAGATAGGGACCACGCTGGTCCCACCCTGCAAGTAAGGGGAAGAAATTTCTTGAACACCATAAAGCTGCGGCGGTTGCGACCAGGATAAATGGTGGTTTCTGAGCCTGGCCGCAAACTTGGCTATCTCAACTCAAAACTAATGTGAAGGTGGGAGGGTCCCTTTAATGCTGACTCGTGCAGCTGCTGGATGTCGGCGTGTGAAAGCCACAACGAATGTTTTGTTGTGAAGTGACTAGTGTGCGACTCAGGAAGCAAGTTTATGGGCAGGTCACGATTATAACGGCGCTAGCTTGTTCCGACTGCCGACTTCCGGACTCGGGTGGTTTGTGAGGGAACATTTGTTTTTAGAATGGTAATTTTGTTAATGACTGCTTGGTTATCCGTTTGTTATTTCTTTGTGAGCTGAGTGTAGGCATATCAGTCAACTAAGAATTGTGAAAAGGGCATTGTGAAGACCATTTTCAGTTTTTTTTTTCTGAAATGGAAGTTACATACCTATACTGTTAAGTGTAAGCATTAGGTACTCACCCTACTGTCTAACCAAACGCATCAACAGTCAAATACATCTCCACGCGCAGACCGGAAGAGGAACAGCCTTCCCTTAATGTGTTTTTATGATATTGAGAGAGAGAGAGAGAGAGAGAGAGAGAGAGAGAGAGAGAGAGAGAGAGAGAGAGCGAGAGAGAGAGAGGAGAGAGAGAGAGAGAGAGAGAGAGAGAGAGAGAGAGAGAGAGAGGAGAGAGAGAGAGAGGAGAGAGAGAAGGAGAGAGAGAGAGAGAGAGAGAGAGAGAGAGAGAGAGAGAGAGAGAGAGAGAGAGAGAGAGAGAGAGAGGGGGGGAAGGGAGAGAGAAAGAGGCCTGCATTTAATCAGATGCTTGGGTAAATATGCCCCACACTTTACGGCGCTTCAGAATAAAATCATTGAAACGTCAAGTAAACGAGGTACATACCTACACGACACAAATAGTAATCTAACATACATAGGGGAAGTTGGGGCAATGCCGGAGTTGGGGCAAAGCCGAAATTCGAGATACAGGGTGACCCAGCAAAAGCGGGCCCCGTGCTAACTTTTTGCTATAGTTCCTATAATAATTGATCAAATGGGTTTATTTTTCAGGACATGGCAGAAGCAACACCTGACAACTCAAAGAAACCTCATTGGAAGGTAGATCACAGAATATACTGTGTAAAACACTACTACAAGACAAGCTCGTTTAAAAAAAAAACTCAGGAGACTTTCTTACATGAGTTTGAATGTCAGAAAGCACCCTCCAAGAGCAGGATTCAGAACTGGGTGGACCACTTTGAGAAGTTTGGAACCGTTGAAAGCCTCAACGCAGCCAGCGAACGTCGTCCAAGCCACTCAGGAGGTACGAACAGGAAGCGCACAGCCGAACTTATCGAGAGTGTGAGAGAGTCAGTACAGCAGAGTCCGAAACGCTCCTTGCGCAAACGAAGTCAGTCTCTCGGTATTTCCCGTGAAACGTGCAGGAGAGTACTTGTTAACGATATGAAGGCTTATCCATACAGGATACAGACAAAACAGACTCTCACTGTCTCAGACAAAGAGAAGAGAAAGGCTATGGCAGTGAAGATGTTGGAGAAAATGGAGGAAAGCCCAGAATTCCTGAAGTTCATCTGGACCTCCGATGAAGCTCACTTTAACCTTGAAGGAAAGGTGAATTCGAAGACAAATGTCTTTTGGGGGACCTCCAAGCCTCAAGAAGTAGCCACCACGCCTCTGCATTCCCCTAGGTGCACGGTATGGGCTGCAATCTCAGCAAGAGGAATCATCGGGCCAATGTTCTTCGAGGAATCTGGAGCGACAGTGACCGTCACCAAAGAACGGTATGTTGAAGTCCTCGAAGCCTTCAAGAGCGAGCTATATGCGCTCTATCCATCGCTTATGAACAGGTTCTGGTTCCAGCAAGATGGAGCAAGCTGTCACACCTCGAAGATGTCCCGAGATTGGCTGAAAAAGAACTTCGGACGTCGTGTGATCAGCCTGAAGACTGATTTTGAGTGGGCGCCCCATAGCCCAGACCTGAGTCCCCCAGACTTCTTCCTCTGGGGCTATCTCAAGGACCGGGTGTACTCAGAGAAGCCCAGGACCATCACCGACCTCAAGGAAGCCATCAGGGAGGAGATGAGAGCCATTCCTCGGTCTGTGTGCAAGGCCGTCATGGACAACTTCGTGCTGCGCCTCAAGAAATGTAACGAGCTAAATGGAGGACATCTCGACCACATGCTCTAGATTGAACAAGGAGAGGTCGGTCGCTTTCGTGTTTTGACATGGTACTTAGAACACAATAAACCAGTTGTGTCCGAAGTTTCATTCAATTCAAACCATTACTTAAAAAATGACGCCTATCGGAAGTTGGGGCCTGCTTTTGCTGGGTCACCCTGTATTTCAAAACCGTAAGACATGGATGCCACCTGTCAGTGATGCTCTGAAGCTTAAGTGACTACAATTATCGCATGTTTGTTACGAGTCGTCATTCGGAATACTTCGACTGTGAGGGCGCCAAGAGCGTTTTCAAGGTACGTTTCCCTTGTACTACATGCGCCTTTGAAGCTGCATTTCTTACTCATTATGCTACCGTTTGTCTGGCCAATTCGGTCAAGTAATCTTTAGCATGTCTTTGCATAAGTGTGCTGCCTATTTGAAATTTATACAGCACGTTGAAAAGTTATGGGCCTGCAAATGAAAGTATGGCAGGCTGGGGTAATGCCGAAAACGTGCGATTACGCACGTGTTAAAAGCACGCTACGTGGACTTTACTGCTGTAGAATAGCAACGCGTATTTTTAGTCACACAAATTACACTTTCAACCGACACAACGACCTGTTACCTATAAGGAATAATTTACCTGGCATGTTCTTATTATATCACACAATTATAACTTCCAGTGTGCACCGCGTCCTCAAGCTCTTAAAACGCGTGTCAGCTTTGATCAATTCTGGATAAAGTTTGAGATAAAATGGCAAAACATCAATGTCGGCATTCCCCGTAGATCATTTCTCCCATTTTCGGCTTTCCCCGCAGTCCGGGGCAACGCCGAAAAAGTCACTTCTTTGATATTTTTAGTTTGTGCGCTTAACCCATTTATGCCCAGGAATATTGACCATCATGAAAATCGTTGAAATCAAGATATGTTACGCTTCTACCAGGGCCTTGCATGGAATCGAAAATAATTTTTGCCGGCAGCAAAAGTTTTTCGAGAAAAACGTAAAAAACGTGCGTTGCGAAATCGCAACGAAGGGCACACCGGGCGCCATCAGCGTTGCGAAAACGCAACGACGGGCACATCAGACGGACATAAAGTACACTAAACCGCCGTATATGCTAGTTTGTTTTAACATATATTTCACCAACTTTTGAAAAAT